CTTTGTCTGTTGTCCTATGGTGTAGGTGTTACTAAAACTTAACTTACCTAACTTCCTTCTAGTTCGTCCCTTCCCCTTTCCTAAGTAATTAGTAAGGTGATATATATATATATATATATATATAATGGTAATGAAATGTCAGTCATTAGTCATCTAGTCATTATTTCAACATGTATTCAACATTTTATGAAATTTTTTCTATTAACTCATCTAACAAAATTAGTGTTTATTCCAAATATTTTGCATTAGGTTAGGGAATTATGTATGTATGTGCTCCCATCTAGTGGTCACATTTCATATTTATCATTTTTAAATACAAATCTGCAAAAATTAATAAAAAATTTATTCACTTCATTCAAATTTTTAATAACCGTAAAGTTAAAATACACTAATTAAATTAAATCTAAAGATAAGGTAGTGCTTCCCTCTACAAGTTATTGAAATACATGAGCTGTTGATGCCTGTTAGCTTGCATCTGGATTGTATCAGTTTATGAACTTCAAAAGTGAGTCTAATAATTTTATATAAAAATAAATGCCATTTTAATTGCCTTCTGGTGGTTGATTGGTAATCTTGAGGGCTTATAATGGTAAAAATAAAATTAGTGGTTCAATCCCTGGGTTGGGCATGGTATAGATAGTCCCTTATGCATAATTGTGTTAATAACAAATGAACAAGCCATTATAATTTGGAATATTTTAATGCAAATTCATAAACACAACCATCAACTCCTTTTTCACATAAACAGCTGTATTAGTTTTCCTTTAAATTGCTTTAATGTGGGAAATAAAGTACCTCATAATATTTAACAGACAGACATCTGGTTTCTCTTACAGAATGTTGGAATGTTGATGCTCACAGCTGGCCAAGCATTGTGAACCTTCTTACTGACTTAGAAGCCATAGTTCACTCTCCAGTCATGATCACACCTCAGAAATCATTCTACATACTACAGGAGGACTGGAAGCATGAGATAGGCCAGATGTTTCATGAACTAAGGTGTCATGATAAGGTAAGAACAGGATTGATTTTATTAGCAGCTTGTTACTGTTTTGATCAAGTGCTAAGAAATGTTACCTACCATATGTTAACCCTTTTGTGACCAGGCATTTTGTATTGTCAGGAATCGGGGAAAACTGGGAAATTAGGTGAACTATCAGAATTGAATATTATAATGATTTATTGTATATTTCATTGAAGAGTGGCACTATAAACTATATATATATATATATATATATATATATATATATATATATACG